AAAGTGATAGCTCATCAAACACATTTACACAGAATTCTCACTTGAGGAATGAATAACTTTTGACCTATTGTGCAAAGACCTAGCTCTTTGGAGAAGGCTTTAATAGCTGGAAAAGGTGGAAGCAAAGAAAAAAAGAGAAAGAAGAGCAGCAACGTGGATAGGCTTAGTAAAGTGGAGAAAAATCTTTTTATGTGGTCACTAAGAATCAGCAATGATTAGATGGCACATAATTAGTCAGTCAATCAATCAAAGCATCAGGTTTGCTGTCCTGAGATTTCTTGGTAGTCTCTCATCCAAGTCCAATTCTCCCAAACCTTTTTGAGATTTGCTCAAGTCAGACTGATTGGTGCTGCCAACTGCTATGGCAGTAATTTTGTTATAGAACACAAGTTCTTGATTTTATTTCTATCAAGGACTTCATTTCTGCAGGAAGAATCATAAAGTAGTATCCCAGGCTAAAACAAGCAGTGAGCAAACCGATTTATTCCTTCCTTTTATGGCATGGTTCTTTTTAGCATCGTTCTTTTCTGAAAACTTTCTGACTTGCAAAACATTTTTTGATATTGACTGAGCTTTTCGACTGAGAAAGTTTCTGCCTCTTCCACCCAATCATGCACAATAGAAAACAATGCATTTTGCACAATGGGAAAACATGATCTTATATCAGCTCATTTCAGAATATAATCATACATGCATCTACTTTTGCCAGAATGGTAAGCAACAACAAGCCATCTTTGCAGGAAATCAAGCCATTGATGAAACATTAATCTGACTAAAAGCCAACCTTCTAGGTATTTGTAACCTCCATCTGAGTAAACTACTCTTGTCTTCCTCTCTTCCCCCCCTCCTGATTTAAATCTGACATCACTTTAGCCACTCTATGGCACCTGATCAAAGCTTTTGCCTACATACTCCTCCTGATTTTGGAATACCACAGACAAACAGTGTTCTCCTCCTACAAAGTCTCTTAAGTGAGCTGCTGCTAATTAAGCTTCCCAGCACCACTTTCAACTCAGACACAATGTCCTTTTTATTTAATTGCTCCTGCAAGAACTGCACACTGAAGGCACTTGGATTTTGCTGATAAGAAGAAAACCGACTGAAGCTGCATCTGATTTGCACATGGTAGGTAAGAGCTGAAGCCACCAAGCTCAAAATCTTTCAGCAATCACAATACATCTGTCAGAACAGGCGCTTGATGGGTGAGCCCCCTTGGAGCAGCTGCAAAAGGAAACACTGCACATTGATCTACAAGGCTGACAAACTTTCTGCTAAGAATACATTAAGGGTATTCACAGATAGGGTCATTAGGAGATTTACAGGGAAATTGGGGGGGGGGGGAGAATGTTGTTGTGAAAGGAACGTCTCTGGATGGAGGCGGTTACTAGTTAGCCACAAAATATTGAGAACTTTTTACCTTATCATAGATTAGCTGATATAAGCATCCAGAGTATGGCACTTTGGA